TCCTCCTGCTGCCCTGCCCCTGTGTCTCTGTCATGAGGGGGAATCTGTTTATGAGCTCTGTCTTGGATAATGAGTTGAGGAAACGGCTTTTTTTTTTTTTTTTTGAGATGGAGTCTCACTCTGTCACCAGGCTGGAGTGCACTGATGCAATATCGGCTCACTGCAATCTCCACCTCCCAGGTTCAAGCGATTCTCCTGCCTCGGCCTCCCAAGTAGCTGGGATTACAGGTGTCACCACCACACCCGGCTAATTTTTATGTTTTTAGTAGAGAGAGTGTTTCACCATGTTGGCCAGGCCGGTCTCAAACTCCTGATCCCGTGATCTGCCTGCCTCAGCCTTCCAAAGTGCTGAGATTACAGATGTGAGCCACTGCACTCGGCCTTGAAGAAACTACTTATGAAGTCCCTACTTTTAGTAGTTCTGAGGAAAAGTGTTAACTTCTTATGGAACTGGGCACAGATTTGTCCACTTAGGGGATGCCACTTTCACTATTCAGGAGCTGTTCACACGCACTCAAAAACTGGGATGAGAGAGGAGGAAGAGTGGCTTTTATGCCACCAGACCCCCACTCTTTTTATCATCACAGGTGCAAAATGTCCCCATCTCCTGCCCAATGGGAGACAGCACTAGATCTGGTGGTCTAGTGAGATCTCCTCCAATGCTCAGCTTGTGTGCTCATGAGCAACTTGCCAGGGAACCCCGCAGCTGTACAGATGAGTTCAGGCCCACTTCCCCAGAGCTGGCAGGCTCCCTGTGGTCTGTCTCGCCTCACAGCAGGCCTCCAGGGCTTTTTCTCTTGGTAATTGTCCGTCCCTGAAGATAAGCACATAGGCACTTTTTATTTTAAGACTTACTGTTAAATGAAAGATAGCAGCATTAGGAAATCACACGTCTTAGACCCACTTCCCCTCTGGAAGCCCCTTGGGACGTAGTTTTTATTCCTTATGTTGGGCTTTCTTTTCTTTCCAACTTCTTTCTCCTTCTCCCATTAAAGGAAAAGTTCGCTCTCAAGGAAACCTCAGTCCCAGAATGTAGGCCTGAAGATGCAGCATATGCCAAATGGTTCATAATTTTTTTTGTTCAGTCTGGGAGCTCACATATGTGGGCAGTGTCCCCAGGTTATCAGCTCTGGGACATTTGGAGCATTTCCTCAAAGCCTTCATTTTCTTTAGTAATCCAAATAACAATATCTCATCCAATTCAAAGTGTTCATTGAGGCTTCCTTCCCCTAAATTCAGCGTAAGTCATAACCACTCTAGACTGTGGCAGTGTGTAATTTGCCCAAATGTGAATTTACTGATATTATTTGATTAGTAAAGATAACTTGATATAGTAAAGAGTGACGGTAAATTGGCCTGGCTCCTGAGATTCTCAGGCAAAGTCCATGCTGGCTTGAGTTCTCTGTAAGCTGACTTTAGATGACAGCTTTCACATTTGGAAAACAGTATTCCAGACATGAAATAAGAAATTGTGAGTCACACAATCAACATCATACTAGGCCTGTGCCATGGCTGCTTTTAGAGTATTGTGTTTTAGTGCTTATTTAATTATCTGTTTGCTATAAAAGTTGGCAGTCCTGACTTTCCTCTCCGATGTAAACAAAATAATATTGTCTAATTTCTTTGCTACTTATTGCCATAATAGCAGAAACTCTTAAATTTTATTTTAGAAACAGACTTAGATTTCCCTTGCAATAGATCTTAAAGGAGGTGAAATGGAATGTTCCTTTTGTAAGCCAGCAAGCTGTCACTACAGTAGGAAAAGTATTATAACTAAAGAAGAATCTAAAGAGAGGTCTTTTTATCAGTCATGATACATGGGTGAGTTGACAGCCTCGAGTCTAGATGTCAGCTTTTAGCAGTCCAGAAATTGATATCTTCAGGTTACTGAGTGCTGAGTCAACTCAGGGGTATTGACTGCTATTAACTGGTCAGTATATTCTCTCTACTGCAGCAGAGTCTATATGGGGAATCAAATGACAATCCAGAGTTTGCTTGGTGAGCATCATGTCAGAGCCAAAAAGAATTGGATGGTCTGAGTGGCATATGTCACAGCCCCAGGGGCAGGACGTCCTCCTCTCCATTCCAGAGACAGTGTTGTAGAGCAGAGCGGATTGCTTCTCCTCTTGGCTTGCCTAGTGCTGGAGACTGAGCATGAATAGCCTCTCTTGTTAAAATAGGACACAAAACCCTCTAAGGTTTGAGCAGATGAGAGGTCTGGAAGATGACACTGTGCATGCAATTACCAGCTTGTCTTCCTGGATTTTCCCTCTCCTGCCAGTTCCCTCTCTTTGACTTTGGGTGTTTATTAACCTCTTCAGCCCCAGGGTATATTGTGCCCTCTAAAATACTGAGTGAAGGGAAACATCAGACTTCTTCCTATTGTTCTCAGTACAGCTGAGATAGGCTGCAACAGCCAATGAATGTTTTATTAAAATTAATAGAAAGCTGAAGGATATAAACATGTACCAAAAGTGTAAAAAGTTGATGGTTGATGGAGGATAAATTTCTGTACCTGAGCTCGCAGCAAAAGGTTGAGAAATCTAAGCCAAGCAATTAGTCATGACCAGGTTAAACAATGACTTCATTTTCTAAAGTGATGCCTTTTCAAAGAGTACTGCCCTTTTTAAAGCATCTTTACCTCTGCCAGGCAGCTACAGCTGAATAGCTTGTATGTCCTTTATTAGCTTGCTTTACTTTTGCAGATGGCTTATCTCATTTTTAACAGATTCTTATTCAGTTCATTCTTAGGGTTGCACCATTTCTGACATTGTCCCTAAATTCTGGGGATGCTTCACAAAGCGTGGAATGTAATGATTACAATGATTATAAAATCCGTGTGTCAGAGTCATAGAAATGCCTTCATTTTCTGGCTTGTTTAGACTATCATTATAAAGGCATTTAAAAATATTCAATATTTTTTCAATTAATGGCAGCCATTTTTTTTTTTCTTTTGATACAGGGTCTTGCTCTGTCACCCAGGCTGGAGTGCATTGGCCCATCATAGCTAACTATAACCTTGAATTCCTAGGTTCAAATGATTCTCCTGCCTCAGCCTTTCAATTAGCTAGGACTGCAAGCATATACTACCACACTTGGTTAATTTTATTTTTGCAGAAATAGCATCTTGCTCTTTTGCCCAGACTAGTCTTGAACTAGTGGCCTCAAGCTATTGTCCGACCTTGGCCTCCTGAAGCACTGGGATTACAGGCCTGAGCCACAGCGCCTGACCCAGCAACTGTTTTTTGTCTTTATTTTTATTTCTGAGGTCATGTCTCACTGTTACCCAGGCTGGAGTGCAGTGGTGCGATAATGGCTCATTGCAGCCTTGACCTTCCTGGCCTCAGGTGATCCTCCCACCTCAGCCTCCTGAGTAGCTGGGACTACAGGTGTGTGCCATCATGCCCAGCTAATTTTTGTAGCTCTTTTTTTTTTTTTTTTGTAGAGATGGGATTTCACCATCTTGTCCAGGCTCAGCCATTGTTTTTCAAGTTCAAATTGTTTCATCTTTGGCCAAAAGGAAGGAGCCTGTTTATGGGACTCTTGTGTCCTTTTGACGTGACCCCATTAATTGTGGAACATTTCCTTTCTTTTTGAGGTAGTCAAATTGTTTCAGGGTCTTCTTTTATTTTTTTCTGGCCAGAACCTGAAACCAGTCACTCCTCAAAGGAGCTTTAGTTCCTTTGAGTGGGGAATGGTTTTCAGTGACCATAACCTGGGTGAAGAGGGTGTTTATTGCTGCTGAGTTGTCCTTCTAAACCTATTCAATGGATTTTTTTTTCTTTTTTTTTTTTTGAGACGGAGTCTTGCTCTGTCACCTAGGCTGGAGTGCAATGACACAATCTCAGCTCACTGCAACCTCTGCCTCCCAGGTTCAGGCAATTCTACTGCTTCAGCCTTCTGAGTAGCTGGGACTACAGGTGCCTGCCGCCATGCCTGGCTAACTTTTGTATTTTTGGTAGAGATGAGGTTTCACCATATTGGCCAGGCTGATCTTGAACTCCTGACATTGTGATCCGCCCACCTTGGCCTCCTAAAGTGTTGGGATTACAGACGTGAGCCACTGTGCTTAGCCGTATGTATTTTTTTTTTTTTGAAAAGAAAAAAAATGAGTTCATACTAGTGTTTCCCATATAAATATATTATTGCAGTATTTTAAAGAAAACTTACTTTTGTTGCACACTTATATTTTCTATTACACTGAAAACATCTCGGCTCCATTTGATGTTAGTGTAATTATTTTTGTGCTTCATCCTGTAGTGGTTATAAGAATTTAAGAAATAATAGGAATATTATTAATAACAAGAATACTACTGAATGAAATGTAAGATTTCTTTGCCTTTTTATTTGCTTTGGGAATATGTATCACTGTTGATGTAGAATCATAATATTGTGCTCTATGTCAACTTAAAATAATTATTTTTTCTGTGTTCATATGCTATCGGTGGGATAGTCCATTATGTTGATTGGTTTCCATTAATTTTCAATTGTTAGAGTTTTCTTTTACAATTTAAAAATGACTCATTTATTCATTTGTAGTCAGGGGCTAGGTCTGTTGCTCAGGCTGGAATGCAGGGGTGCAATCATAGCTCACTGCAGCTTTGAACTCCTGGTTTCAAGCCATCTTCCAGGCTTCCAGAAGAAAAGTGTTCCTATTTCAACCAGTTTCAAAAAGTAATAGTTCCTCATCTCTCCAGTCAGACTTCAGTAGTTCTGAACTATTAGCCATCATTCCGGTTTAAAAAAAAAAAAAAAGAAAAGTCACAAGTGTGAGCACCATGTCTGGAGTCTGGACTATTTTATATATTTTCAAAATTTATGTTTTCTTTTTAAGAGATAGGGTCTTGCTATGTTGCCCAAGCTGGCCTCAAACTCTTGGGCCTAAGCAATTTTCCCACCTCAGCCTGCCAAGTGGCTGTGACTATAGGCATGCAACATCATGTCTATGTTTTTTTTTTAAATTCAATTTGTTAATATTATTAATATAATGCTATTCTAGAGCCAAAACTAAGAAGGCACATCAAGAGAGGACTCAGTTTTCCATTCTTGTTTCCTCCACAGTATTCCCTCTCCCATACAAGTTTTTGGTTTATCCATCTAGTGTCTCTTTTTATAAATATTAGCAAACACAAATATCTTTATATCCCCTCCAGACCCTTTCTTTCATCCATTTTTATGATAAACATTCCATTAGTGAATATTGACGTTTGAGAATGACTTTTCTTCTTCTTTTTAACCGTAACGATGGCTAATAGTTCAGAACTACTGAAGTCTGGCTGGAGAGATGAGGACTATTACTTTTTAAAAGAAACACTTTTTTTTCTGGAAGCCCATTTTTTTCTGAAAGAAACAATTTTTTTCTTCATTTTCTTCGCGCCTCTCTAAGCTGTCAGGAAATAATTCAGCGCAATTCGGGCTGAAGCGTGTGCTTCGTGTGCTCCGCCGCCTGCGGTCAGATCACAGTCCCTTCCGAGGCTGCTCGGAAGAGGGAGTAGGGGACGCTTGCCTTCGCTGGTGTTCTGCCCCTGAGGCTGACGCCCCTCGTTACTCCCTCCATTCCCTCCCATATCTGGGAGAAGCACAGACATCTCTCTCTCTCTGCTTTTGGTCTTCTAACGCAGTTGCTCGCCCACCAGCTCCCTGGCTCTGCCACTCCCGGGCGGGCACGGGGGAGCTGGGGCCTCCCCGCCTGCGCACGGCGGTGCTGGGATTGGGGGCGGGCGCGCCGCCTCTGTCTCCCGCGCGCTCGCTGGCTCCCGCCCTCCCCGCCTCCTGCGATCTCCTGCCTCAGCCTTGCAGGCTCCGCACTGCAGATGCCCGCTGGCTTCCCCGCGCTCGGCGGCTCCCGCGGTGCCCCGCAAGTCCCGGTGACCCTCCAGCACGGGCCGCGCGCTCCTTTTTCCCAGGGGCCGGTCAGCCGCCGAGAGCGGATCGCACTCCCCCAACACTGAGAGCGCATCCGCTCAGCTGGTGGGGCAGCGGGGACCGAGGCAGACGGTGGCCGTGCCGGAGCCCGGGCGCTCCCGGATGCGGCAGGACAAGCTGACCGGCTCTCTGAGGCGCGGTGGAAGATGCCTGAAGCGGCAGGGCGGCGGCGTGGGCACCATCCTGAGCAATGTGCTCAAGAAGCGCAGCTGCATTTCTCGGACCGCGCCCCGGTTGCTCTGCACCCTGGAGCCGGGTGAGGACCCGGGGCTGCAGATGGGGCGCTGGAAAGTAGCGCCGGGACTGCCTGCGCTTCTGCCTTAGCCTGACTCCGAATAGGCCGGGGAAGGTCCGCGTGCCACCCGGTGCTGGGCACCGCATTGGCACCTGCGGGGCGCGATCGGGCTGGGAGGGCAGACGCAGGCCTGGATGGGGCAGTGGCCTCCCCAGGCGCTGAGAACCTGCCGCTTTCACCGCTGCCCGCGGACCCCCACCCTGCGGCCTATGAGCTCGGTTTTCTCGGTGTGGCGGGGAAGCGCGAGTGGCTGCCCGGGCTATCAGAGGCCGCACCACCTATTGTGCTCTGGGCTCGCGGGAAGCCAGACCTTGCGAGAGGTGTGTGTGGGCGGAGAGAGAGACAGGTTTGACACTGAAGGTCGTAGGGGGAAGGCAGTGGCTGCAAAGGCAAAATCGGGTGTATTTTCCTGCAGCATGAGTGCCAGGGTCAACTCGAAAAGGAGCCTGTAATTTGTGAGTGCGGGTGGGGAGCAGCGGGAGATCCTTTTCATAGGTGAAGTCCGGAAGCGAGCCTGGCTGTGCTAGGCAAGGCCCTCCCAGCCGTCAGCCTGTGTTTACCGCTCCTTGCTTCTCCAGGCTGCATAACTCCGTGTTGGCTCCGTCACCCGGCATCCCTCCCTGGGATTTTAAGAGCCCGGCCGTAGCGCGGGTTCCTGGGCACGGAGGTTTCTAGCAAGGAGTGGCCACAGAGGGTGTCGGCTGTCCTCTCATTGGTGCGTGGCGCTCACCTGTCCCCTGGAGTGGCACCGGCTGGGCTCCAGGCGGGTTCAAGGTCCCTGGACCCCGCCCCCCAGCGCCTTAGGGACCTGCTGTAGAGCTGCAGGAGAATGGAGGCAGCGAAACCCAAAGGCGGGGGATGTGGCGCTGCCTTTCCCAACCTCGTGGTTTCTTTGTTTTTCTCCCCTAGGAAGTGTCTAGTTGCAGAGGCTGTCGTATTTATTCACCGTCTTCCTTTACTTCTTCTAATTCTTTTTTAAAAATTTCCTTCCCACATTAAAAGTGTTTTTGTATTTCTGAATCCAGAACAGCTGTGATTATCAGATGAAACATAAACCTTCTCTCTGCCCTTATTCTGTTAGAAGAAAAGGGGGGTGAAAGTGACCTGGTTTAAGCTTTTGCATGCAGGCGGCGAATCATCAGTTTCAGTTAAATCCTCTTGCTCATTTTTGATCATGAAAGGATAGTTGTGGTTTTGGCCAACTAACTCCCTCTGGATTTCACTGTGGGAAGGCAATCGACATGACACTCAGCAGGTGCCCTGGAAAAGTCAGAGGAGCATATTCGGTTAGACACACAGGGAATCCTTTTAGTGCTGCAAGAGTAAGTCAGCGCAAGACTGAATTTCCTGGTCTTTGTTATAAAGCAAACGTCATGATTATACGCTCCTCCATTCAGCACCCCGAGTCTGGACAGCAACTTCACATCAATGTCTCTTGCAGAGTGCCTTAAAGTGTGCGGTAGGGCTGGAAACGCTCCTGTGGCCATTGTGTCACCATTCTACCTTTGGGCAGGACTTCATTTAAACTACTTCAGAGAGAGGCGGATCCATGGGGTACTTAATATTCCTTCGGAGAAAAAAATCTTATCCATCCAGGCAGTGTATGGCATGGCCCTGAAGCTTTGAAAAAAAGTATCAAGGCATTGATTGGATGCCTGAGATTCTCTGCCATAGCTTACTTTGGAAACCTAGGACCCAGCTCATACATTTACAGCGCTCTTCCAGGATTCCAAGAACATCTGCATATTGTCATGGGCTTGCAAAAATCAGATACATCTCTTTCCAGCTTCTTGACTCCGTGTGTGTGTGTGTGTGTGTGTGTGTGTGTGTGTGTATTTTTTTTTTTTTTAAAAAAGACCAGTCTACTTGATTACTTACTATTATTTCATAAATTCTGATGATTCTGAAGATTGCTCATATTCATACCAACCCCTAGGAAGTGGAAGTTGTGGAGAAGTTTTCAGTACACCTCATTTGCAATCAACAACCTTAGAAACAAAAATGCCATCATTTGACTTCTGCAATTTGGAAAACTCAATGTTATTGATAACATTTGGCATTTCTTAGTCCTTAAACTTTTGAGCAATAATTCCTTTAAAAGAATGGGGCCTGGTGCAGTGGCTCATGCCTATAATCCCAGCATTTTAGGAGGTTGAGGCAGGTGGATCGCTTGAGGTCAGGAGTTTGAGACCAGCCTGGCCAACATGATGAAACCCTGTCTCTACCAAAAATACAAAAATTAGCTGGGCATGATGGCATATGCCTGTAATCTGAGACGTTCGGGAGGCAGAGGTGGGAGGATCACTTGAGCCCAGGAGTTCAAGGCTGCAGTGTGCTATGATCGTGCCTGTGAATAGCCACTGTACTTCAGCCTGGGTGCTATACTGAGACTCTATCTCTTAAAAAGAAGAAAAGGAGTTGAGACTGAGATAGGTTAGATAAATTGTTTCAGCCTAGGAACCAAGTTGAATGGAGGACTGTGTGACTCCAAGCCTGTGGTGTCATTTTTTTTTTTTTTTTTGTGGTACTCCAGGCATCTATGTAAACCATCATCATATGTAGTAAGGCATATTCTATTGCTGTAGGGTATTTTTGTATTTTAATAATCGATATACTTACCTTTTAGTAAAATAGACTAAAATTTAGTAAAAATACATGCTTTTAAAAAATTCATGATGATTCAGTAGAATCAAGCTTTTACTTGTATTTTTGATCCAACTTGTTATAGTCTCCCAAAATAACATCTGTGTATGTATTTTTCTTTCAGGAGTTGATACAAAGTTGAAATTCACTCTTGAGCCATCTTTAGGTCAAAATGGTTTTCAGCAGGTAACTTTGGTTTTGAAAACACTCTTCTTTTGGGGGTACCAACAGGGTACATTGAGATATATTCTCAAAGTGGGAATAATGTGTTGATATGCATATGAAGATGACTCATTTCAAAAGTATTTCAGGTAAAGTAGCTTTTGAGCTACAAGTGGCCTGGTTTATATTTGCAATGAAAAATTTTACACTTTCTATTAATGGTACATGTGTGAAAAAGTTTTAAAATTAATAAATTTCACACCTGTACCATAATGTCTATTATTGTGGACCCTATAATATATGTTTTGGCTTATTAACCAGCGCTTCCCAACCATTTTATGTGTGCTGCAAAGGGGTCACAGATGTGTTAAGGGTGCCCAATGGGTGGGATGTGGCACAGTAATAGCCATGGACCGATCACTTCTGTCTGAAAGAAGCTTTGACTGTTTTCTCCATTGTGCTGTGCAAATTTCAACAAACACTGTGAATGTCAAGATTGAAAAGGGGAAAAGATTGAAAAGTGCTTATCTAGGTCACCATGATCACTTCCCAAGATTTCTTCTTTGTTCCTAGTGGTATGATGCTCTCAAGGCAGTTGCCAGGCTGTCCACAGGAATACCAAAGGAATGGAGGAGAAAGGTAAGGAGGACTCATAGGACTAGAATACGGAAGGATCATCACTGTCCTTCTTTAAAGTCTCTGGAATGTCAAAAAGTATATTCTAGGTTTAGTTATTTGAAACCTATCTTGATTATTCATTCATGCAATAAATATTGATTGATTATTCTGTGCCAAGTTATGTTCCAGGTACTAGGGATACAGCAGTGAAAAAAACAAAACAGACCAAAGTTTTTGTCCTCATGGAGCTTACAATGAATAAGATATAAAGTATGTCAGATGGTAATGAGTACCATGGATAAAAATAAAATGTAGAGAGAAATAAGGAGTGTTTAGGAGAAAAGGGGTAAGAAGGTGGAATTTTAAATAGCAAAGTGACATTCGAGTGGGCCCCTGAAGGAAGTGAGAAGCCAGCCATGCAACTACCTGTGGGGAGATCCTCCAGACAGAGGGAACAGCCAGTGCAAGCACCCCCTCAGCCTTCAGGCGGGAGCATCTCGTGCCTCACCTCTCAATTGCATTCAAGCAAAGATGGGGTGCGGCAAGGCTGAGGCACAGTGAACAAAGAGGGAAGAAATAAGAGAGGGGGTCATAGAGGTGATGTGGTGGGTTGGGGTGTGGCAGATTGTGGAGAACCTGGTAGGCTACCATAGGACTTGGACTTTCGGTCAGTTTGAGCTAGGAAGCATTGGGAAGTTTTGAGCAGGGGAGTGACATGATCTGACTTTTTTATTATGAATGGAATACTCTGGCTACTGACTTGAGAATATGAGAGACAAAGGCTGAAGTAGGGAGACGAGTAGGAGACTTGCAGTAGCTCAGGCAGGAGATGTATCAGGGTTGTGGTAGTGGAGATGGAGATCCTAGATATATTTTGAAGGCTGAACTGACATGAATTCCTATTGGACTGAATATAAGGTATAAAAGGAATGTAAAAGATGACTTCAAGATTTTGGCCTGAGTGATTGGGAGGTAGAGTTACTGTTTACTCAGATGGCAGAAGGAGACGTGTGTGTGTGTGTCTGTATGTGTAGGTAGGGTGGGTGGTGGAGCAAGTAATTGGTTTTGGATCTGTTGAGATGCCTATTAGATATCTAATTCGAAGGTATCAAGCAAACATTTGAATATATGCTTCTAATGTTAGGAGAGAAGTCTGACTGGAGATATAAATCAATGTTGTTCCTGCTAAATTATGTTTAAATACCAAAACTTGAAATACATGCTTAGGATATTAATTATGAGTCTAATCTTTATATTTCTAGAATTTGAGCACTGAGGGTTCCATATATATATATATATATATATATATATATATATATATATATATGACATTATGAAATACAACTTTCAGAAACAGATTTTTCTGGATAAGATAATCAAAGGAGTAAAAATATCCAGTGGCTCTTTCAAAAAACTTATTCATTATGAGAGCCCATCTGTCAGTTTTGTGTACGTGTGTGAGAGAGAGGGATGATTTAAATGCAGAGGGCACTCTATGGTGAAAAAAGCCCCATTCGCCATGAGTGGCCAGATGGCTCTTGCCGAAGTATGGAGAGCAATTCAGAGCCAAGTAAAACAGGCTTATGGAATTATATAGGTTATTCAATGAACAGAAATAAAATTTCAAAATCTTCTTGGTTTGTCTTCCTAACAGTATCCCTGGTGCCTGGATTGCTGCTTGAAATATAGTAGGAACTCAACAAATATTTACTGAACGAGTAAATAGAAGCCCCGAGATAGTGCAATTCAGTAAATCAAAAATTTCAATGAGGCTCTTACAGATTTCGACTTAGGAGTGATGTCTGGTCTAGGGACACTTCTTTTCTTGTTGAATGCAATAACTACTTTCTAATAAAGATGAAATTATGTATTCTACTTTGGCATTCTTCTTTGTCTATGTAATGTTTTAGGTTTGGTTGACCTTGGCAGATCATTATTTGCACAGTATAGCCATTGACTGGGACAAAACCATGCGCTTCACTTTCAATGAAAGGAGTAATCCTGATGACGACTCCATGGGAATTCAGATAGTCAAGGTAATACCCCTGAACTGGGCCTGTCATCCTAATACAGAAGAAAGACTCTAAGAGCCAGTTGGTTTTTGGATAGAGGATCAGATGATCTCTACCTTCTGGTCTGAATGTCTGTGTATTTTCTGCCTTCTCATTTCATTAGCTTTTTCGTGGGGAACCTTGACAATGTGTTGTCTGCGTAAATTTAAATGTTAGTGAATGAGCTAACATTTAAGAAGAAAATGTTAGCGAATGAGCTTTCATTCATATGCAACTTATTAGTCTTCCTCACACCACAGGAAGGACCTTTTATCATGGGTCAATGCTACCAACTGGATTTTTATGTAAAAGTCACTGATTGAAAAAGTTAAGTATATTTCATATGAGAATCATTTGGTTCTTATTAGGGTCTTTGATAGTTTCTTAATGCCATTTTCTTTTTCTTTTTTTTTTTTTTTTGAGACGGAGTTTCACTCATGTTACCCAGGCTGGAGTGCAATGGCACAATCTTGGCTCACCGCAACCTCCGCCTCCTGGGTTCAGGCAATTCTCCTGCCTCAGCCTCCTGAGTAGCTGGGATTACAGGCACGTGCCACCATGCCCAGCTAATTTTTTTGTATTTTTAGTAGAGACAGGGTTTCACCATGTTGACCAGGATGGTCTCGATCTCTTGACCTCATGATCCACCCGCCTCGGCCTCCCAAAGTGCTGGGATTACAGGCTTGAGCCACCGCGCCCGGCCTTTAATGCCATTTTCTGAAGACAGGTTCACAGGTGGGTCCGTTCCAACCAAATGCTTGTGGGTTCAAGCCAGCTGTGTAGGCAGCTGTGGTTTGCCTACCTGGATTATTACAACTGAACAGAGCCTGGTGCTAAAAGCCGAGGATGCTGATTCTGATTCCAGTATTATCCTCTTACATAAGGCTCTAGCACATGGGTTTTGATTTTATATGAGTACATTACAGTGTGATGCTAAACTGGGGCTTTAAAAGGAAAGTTGTTTCATCCAAATTTTGGCCACCTCAAGATGGCTAATGTTTTGGCATGTTTGGAGTTTTTTTTTTTTTTTTTGTAAGGAGAAAGTACTAACTAAAACGAGCTACTTTTTGTTCTAACTTGGTCTGTTTCAGACAAATGCTAAAAAAGTTATGCAATTTTACATTGTGTACTAAAAAGCCTTTGCATTATTCACATTTCAGCTATATATTTGGAATTTTAGAATATGTTTCACAGAGATGAAGTATCTCATATTTGAAATATTTCCTTTCTGTCTAACTGGTGAATTAAGCCAATGCATCGTTGTAACGATCCTGTTATTAAGAAGATCTTTTATTTTCTCATTGAAGTGAATGCTATGTCAGTAAATGACTTCAGCTGTTGAAAATTATAGTCCCTGCTTAGTAATTAAATTACAGATATTGCCTTCACTAAATATTAAAGCATAGCAAATATTTCTTTCTTATATAAATTCATAAAACAATTCTAATAGAATGATTTTTTCTCTTTATAATCACATTTTTTGCTATTTTGATTTCACTCCTTTATGTTATTTTGAGTTTTGATAGCTAAATATACTTTTTTGTAGAAAGAACAAATGTTAGCCTCAAGCATACATGTATTGGGATGACTATTGTTTTATCTGAGAAGTATTATTAAAACAAACTATCAATTTATATGAAATTATAATATAATTATTGTTGATTCTGGGCTGCTTTTTGTGGTGATCCTAGAAACATTTTAAGTTGAAAATTTGCCTGGCTGAAATTTCCCTTGCAAATCTCTCTTAAACAGCATATTACAAAATATTAAGAAAAAGAAAGCTAAAAATGCATTTTAGCTCATATGTATAAGCCACATGTACATTTTAAAAAAATAAAATTTATGTTGATAATTTGACTCTGTTTATTGAGTCAAAAAATAACTAAAGGTATTTTTTTGGAAAGAATTTATTTTTGAAAATATTGTTTCCCTTCCATTTTAGGACCTTCACCGCACAGGCTGTAGTTCTTACTGTGGCCAAGAGGCTGAGCAGGACAGGGTTGTGTTGAAGCGGGTGCTACTGGCCTATGCCCGATGGAACAAAACTGTTGGGTACTGCCAAGGCTTTAACATCCTGGCTGCACTAATTCTGGAAGTGATGGAAGGGAATGAAGGGGACGCCCTGAAAGTAAGTAGCAGGCTCTGACAAAAGCAGAGGACATTCTTCTGAGAGTGAGAAATCGGAACTATAATCTCTCTTCCTTGATGTCTCATCCTTTTCCAAACCTTTGTAATGACCTATGATAGCATTTCCTCCAGGTTAAAGTCATGTCAAGTGACAGACTCATGTAGCTGCCAACTGTGAGACAAATGATTATGTGTTTAGTCTCATTTGTAAGACATCATATTTTTAAAGCAAGTTAAATATTAATTGTATTAATTATTCATTGCTATTTAACAAATTAGCTGCTTAAAACAGCAAACATGTATTACCTTACAGTTTCTTTGAGTCAGAAATCTAGGCACAGCTTAACTGCCTCAAGGTCACATCACTGTGGTGGTTAAACTGTTGGTTAGGGCTGCGGTCTTGTCTGGAGGCTCAATTGCGGATGGGCTTTGGCTTTCAAGTTTGTTTATGTGGTTGTTGGTGAGATTTAATTCTTCACAGGCTGTTGGACTGAGGTCACAGTCCCTTGGTGGCTGTTGGCTGGAGGCCTTTAATAGTTCCTTGCCATGTGGGGTCTCTCCATCTCTCAACCCAGTAGCTGGCACCCCCAAAGTGAACAAGAGAGTAAAAGATGGTGAGCAAGGCGAAAGAGTTTAAGTTACAGATTTATAGCCAAACATCCAAAGTGATATTCCACTATATTTCCATATTCTGTTCTTTAGAAGCCAGTAACCAGGTTCAGCTCATAGTCAAGGGGAAGGGTTCATACAAGGGTGTGACTGGGGGTGGGGTCATGTTAGAACTGCCTCCCACACTAGTTATGCTTAATTATGATTGGATTGCCTTATTAGGTTGCTTTACTCCTTCTTATTTGGAGCAATGTATGGAGGAGTTGGGCTGAGAGTGAGTGTCAGTGGAAGGTGTTTGCATGGAGAAGCATTATGGAATTGACTTGTATTAATATCTTTTAATCTTTGATGCCTAGGACCTTTATTAGTTAAAACAAATTTTGGAAACATGTTGAGATGGAGCACTAGTGATGTAAACTTATTGGTTTGCAAGTGAGTCAGTGTGTCACCAGAAATAGAGTGCTTATGAGAAATGAAGCATTTTAAATGTGAAGACTAATGCCAGTTTGCTTAAGGCAATATGGGGTTATTAATTCATATTTGAACCTTTAAACTGCTGTTGATTTCAATGCTTTGTGATGTATGTGATAGTTACTTTGTCTTCCTGTTCAAGAACCGCCCCCCAACAACCCTACTGCCAACAACCTGTGTTTGACTATGGTGAATACCTTACTGATACTCCCAATCACTGACTAATGTGATGTGGAAAAATAAACAAATATTCTTCTTGGTTTTATACATATGATGGTGGACTAGTTATAGATCCAGCCTGACATGATCTAAATCTGTTTTCAACCTCTCACTTTTTCCATTGATGTATTTAAGGAAGCAACTTTGAAGTTACTTGTTCATCAAATAGGTGGGAGTAGGTGGAGGATGGCAGTGACAAATACATGACTTTAAGAAGATTTTTATTAAGAAGCAATTTTGTTTACTCAGTCTGTCAGCTTTCATCAGTTTTTTTTTTTCAGATCTAATTGGTATGACTATAAAATGGGAATTGTTCTCTAGAGCAATTGGAATAAGTGATTCAAGTTAGGGGGTGGGATAGAGACATTCAGGAAAGGAAATGTACATGCCAATCAAATTATAAAAGGGCTCAGTAACACTTGAGAAAGTAGAAATTAAAAACTCACATAAAAATGTGGATTAAAGATGAAAAACTGAATATTTCTGCCCCCATGAAAATGAGCTCCATGCAATGAAATGATGTCATCATCCTTAAGAGTGTGTAGATCTTGTGGTTAGACATTTAATATGCAGAAGAAGGTTGGCTTCATGAAGAAACACTTTTGATGTCGAGAAAAATATTGTACATCTATTTTTCCAGCCTGGCCTCTACAAGTCATAATTACTAGGAAATGTATAGTTATTAGAAATAGGTGAACCATTTTTCCTGCTTTTTAGTGCTTATGTTTTTACTTAGCAAATCTTTTATTTTTAACTTTTTGTTAAAATTCAGAATTCTCCTATTATTTAGCCTAATTCAATTTTTTTTTTTCCTGGGGACAGTCTTGCTCTGTCATCCAGGCTGGAGTACAGTGGCATGATCTTGGCTAACTGTGACCTTCACCTTCCAGGTTCAAGCAGTTCTCCTGGCTCAGCCTCCTGAGTAGCTGGGATTACAGGTACATGCCAGCATGCCCGGCGAATATTGTATTTTTAATAGGACGGGGTTTCACCATGTTGGCCAGGCTGGTCTCAAACTCCTGACCTCAGGTGCTCCTCCTGCCTCAGCCTTCCAAAGTGCTGGGATTACAGACTGGATCTATGTCTTCATATCAGACATTGAGATGCCTTCCGATAGAGAATTTCCCTGTCGCAGGAATTAGTATGATGATTGAAGAATTTTTTTTTTTTGCTTGTTTTCAAGTAATTTTGAGGGATCATAATTTCTCAGTAAAAACCAAGTATCTTTCTTAGAACTACATATCTTATCCTTAGATGAAAAGTACAATATTTGTCAGCACATTACCTTTACATCTGCATTCATAATCCTGTAAATCCCTCTAATCCTGATCCATAGAGTGCTAGGTTCCTACAAGAATACTCTACCATGCTTATACCTGCTCTCCCCATCAGCTGCTGCCTCCCAGAGCTTCCTTTCCCCACAAAGACTGAATTTACTCCTTTTATTGTTGCTGAGCTCCTATTTCCAAGATGATGATACATTTACCTGGCAAATTTTATGCTAACATAAGAAGGCTAAGGCCCTCTGGGTCTGGCCACCCTATGCCAAAGGAGAAGATCCTTCCTGAGAGCACGCCCCTGCCCTACTGACTCATTCCAAACGATGACCCTGAGAAGTATAAATTATATAAGCTGGGGAGGAGGGGAAAATGGGCCCTTGCAGGGAGGGATTTTTTTTGGGGGGTGGGGGGAATAAAATTTTATGGTATCCTGAAAATCAAAATGTGAGATAGCTAATTTTCTGCCAACATAGAGCCAATTATGTATATAGAGCCATTTATGACTTTATTCTTAATTTTGTTTTTCTGGTGCTTTGGGGAAGGAGCTGGTCTTTTAGGGAGTGGGTCAGGGATAGAGCATGCCAGACCTTTTTAAGAATGAAGCCGCCTGAATTAACACCTGGATATTCTTCAGAGTACTGCAAACAAAGAAAGTGGAGGTAGTGATTCAATGCTATTATAACTCTAAAAATATTTGACTTCTCTGATTCTACTGTACAAATGAACCTAAACATTGCATGAAAATACATATTTCCAGGTATTTTTGTTGGTAAGAGTTTGGTGGGAAAGAACCAGGGATTGACATACAAAGCTCATATGTGTTTGGCTGGGTCATTCTAGGGGTTCTTGGCATTTTAGAAAAGGCAGTACAAGTAGAAAAATCAAAATGAAAATAGCAATTTGAAGAACCTCTATGACAATTTTATGAAAGAAATACAGATTTTGAAAAGTACCATTTGTTCAAAAAGCCTAGTTGCATTTTTCCAGGAAGTGGACCAAAAGTCAACATGAGTAGCTCTATAGCCCAGGTTGATGGTGAGTAAATCTTGAGAGCTACTTCAGCGGGGGTGTTTATGATAGGCCTGCTGTTAGTTTTCATATTGAGGCGGGTGGATCACGAGGTCAAGAGATCGAGACCATCCTGGTCAACATGGTGAAACCCCGTCTCTACTAAAAATACAAAAAAAATTAGCCGGGCATGGTGGCACGTGCCTGTAATCCCAGCTACTCAGGAGGCTGAGGCAGGAGAATTGCCTGAACCCAGGGGGCGGAGGTTGCGGTGAGCCGAGATCGCGCCATTGCACTCCAGCCTGGGTATCAAGAGCGAAACTCCGTCTCAAAAAAAAAAAAAAAAAAAAGAGGTTGTAAAACTGTATTGACATCAACGAGCCGGCGCTGCTGGCTGCTGCGCAAGCTTGTGCTTTGTCATTTCTCAGAATGACGCTGAGGGTTGCATAATCACAGCTACTTACGGACTGAACACAGGTCTAGCAGCCCATCTAGAAATTTCAGACAGCAGCGGAATTGGGGTCTGAGTTACTTAGATGATCATGCCACATGCTCCCTAGCCAGGCTGTAGGAGAGCCTTGTAAATCTGGAACATTTGGTACTGATGCATTTAAGGATGGTGTGCTTTGCTAACAGCGTTTTATCTATTTGAATACTTATTTTCTCTTTAGGACATGTTGGGATCCCAGTTTTTACAAAGCAGCCTTAAACTATCTTTTTTTTCTTTAGATTATGATTTACCTTATTGATAAGGTACTTCCCGAAAGCTATTTTGTCAATAATCTCCGGGCATTGTCTGTGGATATGGCTGTCTTCAGAGACCTTTTAAGAATGAAGCTGCCTGAATTATCTCAGCACCTGGATACTCTTCAGAGAACTGCAAACAAAGAAAGTGGAGGTAGTGATTTAATCCCATGATAACTCTGAAAATATTTGACTTCTCTGATTCCACTGTAGAAATGAGCCTAAACTGTGAATGGAAATATGTATTTTCAGGTATTTTTGTTGTTAAGAGCTTGGTACAATGAAATAGATTTTGAGAGAATGAAAACAAAACTGAAAATAACAAAAGGCCATATGTTGAACCTCTAACTGGTCAGTTAGGAAGTCAGTCAAGAGCCTAATATACTAGTACCAGATCAACAACTGAAATGATGTACTCTGGATGGAGTACCATGTGCATGTCTTATTGTCTACTTAAAAGCTCAAGCTGGCGCCAAACCTGTAGGAGCCTTTACAACTGAGCTACAGGTACAATTTAGTACAAACTGGATTTACCTGAACCATTGAGATTATGAAAGAGTAGCTAAGGGCCTCTGCTATCTAGTGGACATCGTCCAGCCTTTGGAAGTGTCTGAGCTAGTAGCTGTATTTGTACCCACAGTTTGTACTTCCCTGGCTGTGTGTACAGAATAGTCAGGAGTTTGTTGTGTTTCCTCCAAACCAGTGGTCCCCAACCTTTTAGGTGCCAGGGACCGGTTTCAGGAAAGACAATTTTTCCACAGACCAGGGTAGAGTTGGGGGGATGGTTTCAGGATGATTCAAGCACATTACATTTATTGTGTAGTTTATTTCTATGATTACTACATTGTAATACAGAATGAAATAATTACGCAGCTCACCGTCACATAGAATCAATGGGAGCCCTGAGCATGTTTTCCTGCAATTAGACGGTCCCATCTGAGGGGTGATGGGAGACAGTGACGGATCATCAGGCGTTAGATTCTCATGAGGAGCGTGCAACCTAGATCCCTCACATGCACAGTTCACAAGAGGGCTTGTGCTCCTATGAGAATCTAATAGTGCTGCTGATTGACAGGAGGCAGAGCTCAGGTGGTGAGCAGTGGAGAGTGGCTGTAAATACAGGTTAAGTTGTGTTTGTTTCCTGCTGTGTGGCCTGGTTCCTAACAGGCCATGCACACAGAGAGACACCTGAGTGTCTCTAGGCATTTCCTTCTAAGCCACTTGAATGATCTCATTTAACTTGGCTCTGCAGTATAACTGTGTGGATTTTATCATGCTTCTGGAGAGGCTGATCTTGCTTGTCCCCTAGTCAGACACACTTTAGTGAGCTACATGTTTTTACCCAAGTGTCTTGCACTTGGCTATGAGGAACAATCCCAGATTCTAGTCTCTGAGCAGATACTTCCATTGTTCATAGGAAGAACAATGAATACAGGAAAACAGCCCTCTTTTTAAGTAGTTGTACATATTGGCTGTAATTTGGAGGGAGGATCAGTCTAAATATCTAAATTTTTATATTTCATAAAAATACATACTGATCACATAAAGTAGGAGGGAGTACTATGTTTTTAGTAAATTCAGAAATTTCAAAATTTGTTGGACCCCAGACCTTTAGTTGAAAATATTTTAAAATGTAATGTTTATTCTCTATTTTGGGATTTGCCAGCTATCTTTCTGTTAATGATTTCTAGTTTAACTCCACTGTGGCCTTCTTAAGAAGTTGATAGATAATTTATGTCAGCAATTTTATTCTTACCAAAGTAGCATTTGAATAAAAGTGGGGATTATATGATTTCGAACATCTGGTGGCTTTTGCTTTTGAGAGGCTGAAATCCTTTTCTTCTTTTATTTTTGATGAGGAAAACTTTCTCCTTAATTTTCAGCTCACTACAACAGGTAGAGCCAAAGTAAGTTTTAGGTTAAGATTTCTGAGGTATTATATTAAACACACCTACATTCTTCCAGAAACATGGTAGGAAAAATAGGAAGAAAGAACAAGAGTTTAGAAATATGAAGAAATCAGTAAATTTAACAAATTTGAGTGGACATGGAAGACTAAAAAAGGATATGTTTTCTATGCGTATGTTGCCAACCATCAGTTCTGAAGGAATCGAATGTGTTTTGTTTCAGGTGGATATGAGCCCCCACTTACAAATGTCTTCACGATGCAGTGGTTTCTGACTCTCTTTGCCACGTGCCTCCCTAATCAGACCGTTTTAAAGATCTGGGATTCAGTCTTCTTCGAAGGTTCAGAAATCATCCTAAGGGTGTCGCTGGCTATCTGGGCAAAATTAGGAGAGTAAGTGATTTCCACCTTCTGCCCTGCTCTGTGATGTAGAGGACCTTTAGCAGTTTTTGTGCTATAATGTGTAAAGCATTGATATTTAAGTGTGAGGAAAAGAGAAAGTTGTGAACTTTTAAAATTGCTTTAGCCTCCTGAAATCTCGGCGGGCTCACTGTTGGCAGATGCAGTCTATTTTGGAGAAGGGGGCAGGCTCCTTTAGGCCTGTAGATTCTGCCACTTCTTCTCAAGTGCTTGTGTCCTGGCTGGTTCACTCCTTGTCAGCATCTCTTTGGACACTAGTTGGGAAGAGGGAAAGGAACTTAGGTGACAGAGAAATGGAAAGATCTGGTTATGAGTAGGTGAATTTGTTAGTTAATATCACAATTTGGATTCTTGATGAATCTTTATTTTGTTCTGCCTTTCAGGGTTGCGATAAAATTAAATGAGATAAGATATCTCGCTTGGTAGAACACATAGAACTTCTTCCCTTTCATTAAGAACGAATTCTCTGTTGAAATTTGTTACTGCCAAAACATATTACCAAATAGATTTTGCTTATATTCTTTACTAATAGCAGGACTGAAAAAGATAGGGTATTTTTCACTCATCTTTGATATATTATGACTACCACATAAGGATTGTACCTTTTGGGTAATGGAAGAAGTATTGGGGTGAAACAGCTAAGAAGCGGTGAAGTTTTTACTGTTTCTTTTCTGGAGCTATAAATGACTTGAGTGTGTTCCCATAGACAACATGTCAGAAAATTAATAAATCATGGGCACTTTTTGTTTCAAAAACCTTTTAACTAGCCTTTGTATTTATGGTAAGTTGTTTCCTGAGAGACTTCTGGCATTGTAAACAATTTTGCAAAGAAAAACTATCAGTTCAGGAACTTAAAAATTATTATTATGTGTATTTTTAAACATCACCTAGCTATCTCCTTTGCCTTTGTTTTATTGTACATTGCTTTTCAGCTGGGCAAATAAATTCATCTGTATGGTATTTGCTGTGCTATTTGCTTGTCTCCCATTACCTCTGGATAACCGCCTCTTGCTGCAGCCATGTATTTCCAACCTACTGTATACATTGTAAGCTCTTTGAGCTTTGATAGTTTCTCTGGGTGTGATAGTCCAGTTGCTGCATAGCTGGTTTATAGCATTAAAACAGGAAAGCACTTTACTGTATGGCGAGTCAGCTATAATTGCCTTTGTGTTGGTTCTTCATGAGGGAGCAGGAAGAAGAGAGGTGATCCTGGTTTTACTGCTCTCTATCCATTAATCTGTAGGATCGGAATTTATTCCTATGATCATCCCAGGGATGTCACACTGTTGAAATAATACTAGCTGCAACTAAAAGCCAATATTCATTGAGTACTTTCGTGAACAGCCACTGTTCTAATTACTGTGGATGTATAAACTCAAGTATTCATCATCCTATAAAGTATGCATTATTGTCATCTCCTTTTTATAGATTTGAGAATTGAGGCACAGAGAAGTTCAGTTAATTGCCTAAAGTCACCCAATTACTAAGTGGAATGGCTTGAATTTGAACCCAGGCATCCTGGCTCTAGAGTCTGTGCTTTTAAGAATGTGAATCTACTGATAACAAATGGCTAGTATTTTTGAAGTTTAGGGGATGTATGAATCAGAATGATAGAATTTTAACTCTTTCAGTTTTTGCTTATTATAATACTGTGTGTTTTGAGCATGTAGCTTGTTAAGGGAGAGGAAAGGCAATTGACATACATCATAAGTGCCTGAAGTGCCTGCCATTGTGTTAGGCAGTTTAAACACATCATCTCATTTAGTTCTCTCAATAATCTTGTGGAGTAGGTAGGGTTATTCTCCCTGCCTCTTCAAGTAAGAAAATTTCCCCAGGAAAGTTCATTAACTAGTTCGTAGTCATACAGCCAGTGAGTAGCAGAACTGGGACTTTAAATTTGGATCATTCTGATTCTAGTGCCTGTGATATTCTCTACAAACTTTCTGTTGGAAAAACCATAAATGGCATATAGGTAATCTCCAGTTTATGTACACATAAGTAACATGTGCCTTATATATGGTTATCCAGGATCTCTCCTTTCACCTGGCTTCTGCAGCTTGGAATTTCTACCTTTCACTCACCCCAAGGGTACTTTGGAATATGTAAATTGTAGACCATCAGCCCACCATCACTAGCATCTCTTTATGTGTCCTTTCTCTCTGCCCCTGCTGTTTTGGTTTCCTGTTTGTTACCCATGCCTGGCCCACTGTGGTGTGTCCTCCTTGGTTTCCCCATGGTACCCCACATTTGCCTTGCCACCTCCAGGCAGACCTTGCCAAGGGCACAGCTGTTCCCTCACTCCCTATTTAAAGTCTTTTAGTGACTCATGCTTTGAAGTGGCTCAGCTGCCAGGTGAGGCCTTTGCTCTCTGCTGTCAGTAGCTCCCTTCCCTCGGCTCTCACTGGCTTCCTCTGGTCCTGCAACCACTCCCCCCATGCTGGTCTTACTGGTTGTGCAGAGCGACTTGCAGTTCCCCAGATAGGGCCTGCTGTCTCCTGCATCTGTGTCTTTGGGATGCTTTTTCTTCCTGGTCAGCCTGAAAAACATTGTTCAATATTTTTATAGTAATACTTCAGCAGTTTATTCCATTTATTTATTTACATGATTGTGGCAATGGGATTAGAACAACAGTCTAGAATCTCTTGTTTTTCCATAATCATATTTCTTTTGGATGGGTTTATAAAAATCCCCCAACATTAGTATATATCAAAGTGTAGGTCTTCTGGTTGGTGGGGAAACTAGAGTTACCCTACAATACAAAGAACATCGTCATATGAAATGAAAATACCTAGGCTTGGTGCAGTGGCTCACGCCTGTAATCCCAGCACTTTGAGAAGCTGAGGCAGGTGGATCACTGGAGGTCAGGAGTTTGAGACCAGCCTGGCCAACATGGCGAAGCCCCATCTCTACTAAAAATACAAAAAATCAGCAGAGCATGATGGTGGGCACCTGTAGCTTCAACTACTTAGGAGGCTGAGGCAGGAGGATTGCTTGAACCCAGCAGGTGGAGGTTGCAGTGGGCCAAGATCATGCCACTGTGTTCCAGCCTTGGACGCCAGAGTAAGACTTCATTGCAAAAACATAAATAAAATAAAATAGAAATACCTGGTACTTTTGTTTTGGGCTATCCTTTTTTCCCTTTCTAGAGGAAAGATTGAAGTCCAATCTGACTCACAGGTAGCTAAGTGTCAGATTCTTTATTTACATGTAGAACTGAATGCAAGGAGCAGTGTAATCTCCAACTAGCAGCAGCACCCTGAGAAGAACTCAGAAAATTCTGCCTGTGAAAACACCCCATGGACATGAAATATGCAGATACAATTCTTGTAATTTTCATCTTCTGTTCCTACTGTGGTTTGGTTTTGAATCTATTACGTTAATGATATCAGTTTACGGATCTTATTGGAGATAATTGTTCTTTAGTACCCAATTTCGTGGTTATGATTTCTAACGAGTGTGGGTATTCTGATGTGTAGATTATGTCTCATGGAAACAATAAAGATGCCACGTTGGGGTTATGAGGCTGGGGGAGCCAAGTAGGAATGACAGGACTTACCTGTATCGAGTTCCTCAAAGTTGCTTTTGGTATTTTTAAATGTTTCATCCACAGTGGGCTTTACAATTATCAGGATTTTGCTATTTGTTGATTGGTAACTTGAGTGATTTGATCCAAAAGGCAGCTGTCCCCCTTTTGTTTTTGAGACAGGGTCTCCATCACCCAAGCTGGATTGCAGTGGGGCTGTCATGGCTCACTGCAGCCTTGGCCGTGGCTTGCTGCTCCCAAGCTCAGGTGATCCTCCTGCTTTAGCCTCCTGAGTAGCTGGGAGCACAGGTGTATACCACGATACCCAGCTAAGTTTTACAATTATTTGGACAAGTGGGGTCTCACTGCATTGCCTAAGCTGGTCTCGAACTCCTGGCCTCAAGCAATCCTCCTGCCCCAGCCTCCCAAAGTGCTGGGATTATAGGTGTCAGCCACCATGCCCAGCCCAACACATCTTATACCTGCAGCATGTACTGTTACACAGCATGGATGCCCTAAACAAGTTCTATTTCCTGTCCCTTCTTCATCTAGGCAAATAGAATGTTGTGAAACAGCAGATGAATTCTACAGCACCATGGGGCGCCTTACCCAGGAGATGCTAGAGAATGATCTTCTGCAAAGCCATGAACTCATGCAGGTGAGTGGGCAACATGGACCAGCTTGGCTCAGGGAACCCTGGGCACTGTGGGAACAACCAATGCCAGGGCAGCGGTCTTGAGAAAGGTAGTTGGTTAGCCATCAGACTTAGTGTCTCAAATTGACCAAGAGTCTGTATATAATTTGATAAGAATCTATGTCATAAGAGGGAAGAAATGAATGATGGATGTTTGTTGTAGCTTTCCTTCAGACTGTGTTGCTTAGAAATCATTAGGCACAATATAAACTGGAAAAATACACTGGAGAAACAAAATCAGCAAGTGCTTATTCTGAATTTTATTCCTAGCCTTTCTTTTCTTTTTTGAGACTGTCTCACTCTGTCACCCCAGCTGGAGTGCCAGTGACACAATCGTTGTTCACTGTAGCCTCTGTCTCCTGGGCTTAAGTGATCCTCCCACCTCAGCCTCCTGAGTAACTGGAACTACAGGCGTGTACCACCATACAGCTAATTTTCATTTTTATTTTTTGTATAGATGGAGTCTTGCCATGTAGCCTAGACTAGTCTTGGACTCCTAGACTCAAGTGATCCTCCCACCTCAGCCTCCCTAAGTGCTGGGATTATAGGCATGAATCACTGTGCCCAGCCTACTTAGACTTGGTGGGGGAAAACAGTTACTGTTGGGAAGAAATTATTGAGGATAAAAAAGATTATTCTAATCAGCAGTTTGATTCATTTGTCTTGCCCACATTTTCAACTCAGGTAATTATATATTAATTTTAAAGTGAAAGACTTGAAGAGTTTGGTTATTTTTTTATGGCATGTTACTGTACTCTATATCATATTCATCAAGTCTTTTAAATTGACAGCAAGCATGGAAAAAAATAGCTGGTTTATTAACACTGACTTATCCATTAGATTCTTTAATTTTTAATTTTTGTGGGTACATAGTAAGTACATATATTTATGGAGTACATGAGATACTTTGATACAGGCATGGAACACATAATAATTAGATCAGGGTAAGTGGAATATTCATCCCCTCAAGTGTTTATCCTTTGTGTTACAGACAATCCAGTTATACTTTTTAAGTTATTTTAAAATGTACAGTTACATTACTATTGACTGTAGTCACCTGTTGTGCTATCAAATACTAGGTCTTATTCATTCTAACTACTTTTTTTACCCACTAACTATCTCTATTTCCCTATCAACTTCTCTTTCCAGCCTCTGGAAACCATCCTTCTACTGTCTGTCTCCATCAGTTCAATTGCTTTAATTTTTAGCTCCCACAAATTAGAACATTCAAAGCTTGTCTTTCTGTGCCTGGCTTATTTCACTTAATATAATGATCTCCATTTCCATTCATGCTGTTGAAAGTGACAGAATCTCATTGCTTTTTTATGGCTGAATACTACTCAATTTTGTATATGTACCACATTTTCTTTATTCATTCATTGGTTGATGGATACTTAGGTTGCGTCCAGATCTTGTCTACTGTGAACAGTGCTGCAACAAACATAGGTGTGCAGATACTGTTTTGATACACCGATTTCCTTTCTTTTGGATGTGTATCCAGTAGTGGAATTTTTTGATCGTATGGTAGCTCTAATTTTAGTTTAGTTTTATTTATTTATTTATTTATTATTATTTTTTTTTTAGGAAACTCCAACCGGTTTTCCCTAGTGGTTGTACTAATTTACATTCCCACAAATATCTACAAGTGTTCCTTTTTCTCCACATCCTTGCCAGCATTTGTTACTGCCTGTCTTGGTTAAAAGCCATTTTAGCTGGGGTGAGATAATATTTCATTTTAATTTTGATTTGCATTTTTCTCGTGATCAGTGATTTTGAGCATCTTTGTTTTCTTTTTATTTAATTTATTTATTTATTTGAGACAGTCTCGCTTTGTCCCCAGGCTGGAGTCTAGTGGCACAATCGCAGCTCACTGAATTGTGGGTTCAGTAATCCCTCCTGGGTTCAAGTGATTCTCGTGCCTCAGCCTCTTGAGTAGCTGGAACTATAGGTATATGCCACCATACCAGGCTAATTTTTGTATTTTTAGTAGAGAAGGGGTTTTGCCATGTTGGCCAGGCTGATCTTGAACTCCTGACATCAAGTGATCCTCCTGCCCAGCTTGGCCTCCCACAGTGCTGGTATTATAGATGTCAGCCACCATACCTAGCCTTAAACACCTTTTCATAAACCTGTTTGTCACTTGTATATCTTCTTTTAAGAAATGTCTAATAAGATTATAAGAGTTATTTGAGTTCCTTGTATATTCTGGTTATTAATCCCTTTTCAGATGAGTAGTTTGTAAATATTTTCTCCCTCTCTTTGAGTTGTCTTTTCATGTTGTTGATTGTTTTCTTTGCTGTGCAGGAGCTTTTTAACTTGATGTGATCCTATCTGTCCTTTTTGCTTTGGGTGTCTGTGTTTGTGAGCTATTACCAAAGAAATTTTGCCCACTCCATTGTTTTGGAGAGTTTCTCCATTGTTTTATTGTAGTAGTTTCATAGTTTAACATCTTAGATTTGAGTTTTTAATCCATTTTGATTTGATATTTGTATATGGTAAGAGATAGGGGTCTAGTTTTATTCTTCTGTATATGGATATCTATTTTTCCTGACACTATTTATTAAAGAGACTATCTTTGCCCCAATGTGTGTTTTTGGCACGTTTGCTGATAATGAGTTCACTGTAGGTATACGGATTTGTTTCTGGATTCTCTATTTTGTTCATAGGTTTACGTGTCTGTTTTTACGCCAGTACCATGCTGTTTGGGTTACCATAATGGTAGTATAATTTGAAGTCAAGTAATGCAATTCCTCCAGTTTTGTTCTTTTTGCTTGGAATAGCTTTGACTATTTTGGGTCTTTTGTGTTTCCATATAAATTTTAGGATTGTTTTTCTATTTTCTGTGAAGAATGTCATTGGTATTTTGATAGAGATTACATCAAATCTGTAGATTGCTTTAGGTAGTGTCGACATTTTGACAATATTGATTCTTGCAATCCATGAACATGTAGTATTTTTCCTTTTTTTGTGTGTGTCCTCTTTAGTTCCTTTCATTATGATTGTCATTGTAGAACTCTTTAACTTCTTTGGTTATCTTAATTCCTAGGTAGTTAATTTTATTTGTAGCCATTATAAATGAGATTTAAAAATTTATTTTTCAGATCATTCACTGTTTGCACATTGAGATGCTACTGATTTTTGTATGCTGATTTTTTATTCCGAAACTTTACTGAATTTGTTGATCAGTGCTAATCGTTTTTTAGTGGAGTCTTTAGGTTTTTTAAAAATATAACATTATATCATCTGCAAACAAGGATAATTTGACTTCTTCCTTTCTAAATTGTTTGCCCTTTATTTTGTTCTCTTGTCTTATTGCTCTAGCTAGGACTTCCAGTAGTATGCTGAATAACAGTAGTGAAAATGGGCATCTTTGTCATGTTCCAGATCTTAGAAGAAAGGCTTTCAGTTTTTCCCTATTCAGTATGATACTAGTTCTTGGTTTGTTGTGAATGTCTTTTATTATATTGAGGTATATTCCTTTTATACCCAGTTTTTTGAAGGTTTTTTTTTTTATCATGAAAACTTATCAAATTTTATCAAATGCTTTTTTAGCATCAGTGGAAATGATCATATGTTTTTTGTCCTTCATTCTGTTGATATGATGTACTACATTGATTTGCATATGGATAACCATCCTTGCATCCCTGAGATAAATCCAACTTGGTCATAATGAATGCTCCTTTTAATGTATTGTTGAATTTGGCTTGATAGTATCTTACTGAGAATTTTTCATCAATATTCATCTGAGATATTGGCATGTAGTTTTCTTTTCTTAATGTGTATTTGTCTGGTTTTGGTGTCAGGGTAATACTGGCCTCATAGAGTGGAAGTATTCCCTTCTGTATATTTTGAAACAATTTGTTTCAAGAAAATATTCAGTTTCCTATTTAGTTTTTTATTCACCCACTCGTCACTCAAGGGCATATTGTTTAATTTTTATGTGTTTATATAGTTTCCAAATTCCTCTTCTTATTGATTTGTAGTTTTATTCCATTGTGGTCAGAGAAGATCCTTGATATTATTTCAGTTTTTTGAATGTTTTAAGACTTGTTTTGTGACCTAACATATGATCTATCCTTGAGAATGATCCATGTGCTGAAGAGAAGAATGCGTATTCTACAGGTGTTAGATGAAATGTTCTGTAAATATCTACTAGGTCCATTTGTTTTATAGTGCAGATTAAGTTTAATGCTTTTATTTGTTGATTTTTTGTCTGGGTGATCTGTCCAATGATGAAAATAGTGTGTTGAAATCTCTAGCCATTATTGTGTTTGGGTCTATCTGTCTCTTTAGCTCTAATAATATTTGCTTTATTATATCTGGGTGCATATATATTTACAATCATTATATCCTCTTTTGCATTGACCCCTTTATCGTTACATAATGACCTTTTTTGTCTCTTAGTTTTTGTCTTGAAATCTATTTTTTCTGATAAAAGTATAGCTACTCCTGCTCTTTTTTGCTTTCCATTGGCATGGAATAACTTTTTCCATCCCTTCATTTTCAGTCTATGTGTATCTTTATTATTATTATGATTATTATTATACCTTAAGTTCTGGGATACATGTGGAGAACGTGCAGGCTTGTTACATAGGTATACACATGCCATGGTGGTTTGCTGCACCCATAAACCCGTCATATACATTAGGTATTTCTCCTAATGCTATCCCTCCCCTAGACCCCAACCCCCAATAGGCCCTAGTGTATGATGTTCCCTTCCCTGTGTCCATGTGTTCTCATTGTTCAACTCCCACTTATGAGTGAGAACATGCAGTGTTTAGTTTTCTGTTCCTGTATTAGTTTGCTGAGAATGATGGTTTCTAGCTTCATCCATGTCCCTCCAAAAACACGAACTCGTTCTTTTTTATGGCTGCCTAGTATTCCATGGTGTATGTGTGCCATATTTTCTTCATCTAGTCTATCATTGATGTGCGTTTGGGTTGGTTCCAAGTCTTTGCTATTGT